TGCCTTTGCAGAAGACGACGGCTTGGGCAGCTCATGAATCAGCGGGGAGGCATTCTTCCGCAGAACTTGCTTGGTGAAGTTCTCAATGTAAGGAAAATGGACCCTAGGCCCATTTACTTTGGATTTTGGTGTTTGATGACCAACACAACTAAATTGGACTAATAAATTTGCAAGTGATTGTTTTGTAGTTCAATATGATGCAAGACGTGACTTGGACGAAGGCGACGTGATGATCCGATGATCAACACCATAAGCAAGACTCTAGGAGCATAAGAGAAGACCCAAGATATCAAGCAAAGTCCAAGCACGAAGATAGGAACCAAGCCGTACGCAAGATCACGAAGAAACGAGCTCACAGAGGTGACCGGCCGCTGGACGAAAGTGATCGGACGCTCCGATCAAGAGGCTCGGCAACAGGCGTGACCGGACGATGGCGGCAGATCGACCGGACGCAGGACAGCAGAGTCCGGTCGAGTACAGAGAGGTTCCAAAGCGGCAAGATTGCGATCGGACGCGTCTGGTGGCATGTGACCAGACGCTGGCGGCGTCCGATCAGTTGATCGTAGCTCTAACGGTCGGGGCGACCGGACGCATCCAGTCAGGACGTGATCAGCGTCCAGTCAGTAGCAGAAAAGCGGGATTTCGTCCCCAACAGCTACTTTCTCAGTGGGGCTTATAAATAGACCCTCTAACCGTCCATTTGAAGTGTGTGGAGCTGAGAAAACATATTAAGGGTGTTGATACACCATTTTAGTGATCTCCACTTGTATAGTGCTTAGTGATTCATTAGGTGATTAGCGTAGGTGCTTTGCGAAGTGCTTATGTTGATTAGACCACCGCTTATGCGCTTGCTCTAGGTTTAGGCCTAGTGTTTAGTGAGGTTTGCATACCTCTTACCACTCGGTGCTTGCGCGCACCATTGTTGTGCATCGGAGAGGCTTGTAGTCTTGCGAGATCACACCAACCGCGTTTGTGGTGTGGCCGCCACAGTGTACCGGAGGGAACAAGGCCCGTAGCGTTTCGGCCGGAAGCTTGATAGTGAAGACGGCGGGGAGCATCCGGGAGAGGCTTGCCGAAAGGCACGTCGGAGACCCACTTGCGCGTGGGAAAGGCCCGAGGCTATCCACGGAGGTACCCGATCGGGAGCTTGGCCCTTGCGAGGGATTCCTTACGAGGGGCTCCAACGAGGACTAGGAGGAAGCTTGCGTGCTTCTCGATACCTCGGTAAAAATACCGGAGTCGTCGACGGGAGTTTGCATATCTCTATCTTGCTCTTTAGCTTTCGCATTTACATTGATTGTATTACTCCTTTTGCGGTAGAGATAGCAACACACTAGCAAAACCGTAGTTGCACATTTAGATAGTTGATCTTTTGCATAGGTTTTGCTAAGGTTAGAAAAAGAGGCTATAGTTTAGAAGTAAAATTTTAAGTTGCCTAATTCACCCTCCCTCTTAGGCGTCACGGTCCCCTTCACTCAAGGTAGCGCGCAGCGGAGGCGTCATTGTCTATGACCAGATGGTTATCCCGTGGCGGCGTGAGCAATCCAGCGCCTGCTATGAGCTCGGTCGGACCGAAGCCTGGCAGGTAGTCCTCGTCCTCTCTCGTGGATGCGACAACACACAAGGGGGGGTGTTCTGTGCCACCCACGGTTGTGTGGCCTATGCCTGTCCCTGCTCAGGAGACTCCAGGGCGAGTCCATTGCCCACTAAGAAGGGCACAAGGGGTTGTCCACATCTGCTGCTTTCCCATAGGGCGCAGGTGCACACATAGGTGACCTCTAGTGGGGCCTCATCTTCTAGAGGAGCGGCCACCGGAGTTGGGTCTCTCATGATCTGGTTGGTACCCTCCTCCAGCATCGGGTCCTCCGTGACGTTGCGACCAACAAATGTGGCAATCATGCACGAAAGCCAGTGTCAACGGATCGAGCTTGGGTTGGCGTGTCCCGTTGGCCGGCTCTATCAAGAACTGTTACTAATGAGCTAATAACAAGTCAAAGATTTAGGTAATTTTTGTGTTTTGCCAAAGTCTTCTAATAGGACTAGTCCGCAATGCAGTGCTCGCGTAGTCGCATCTCATTACTACAATAAATCTTTTCCAACGCGTTTGCCAAATGGCCTTGGAGGCGGGCGGGCCGGTTGCCCACCTCCGTTATTGGTTGGCCGAGCAGCCAACCCAGCAATCGCCTTGGTTAATCGGGCTACCTAAAAGGCCCGCCTGGGTTAATACTCGAGCTCCGTACGTTCTTGCTCGAGCTGGAGTCGTGCTTCTTCGAGCTCTTGGTGCTACGCCCTTAGCTGCTCTACCCGCAGTGAGGCGGGGCCCCTGCATCCCCCTCGACTTCGTCGTCGAGGTTGTCTGTTGGGGTAGCCCTCCCTCGTGGATGCTTTCGACGTATCCCTAGGGGGTACCTCCCATGAAACATTCCCGCGAGGGGTGATGGCTCCCCTGCTGGAGTCAGAGTTGGAGGGCGACTCCGATTCTCCTGCGAGGAGGTCGTGGAAAGATTCCACGACGTATTCGGTCATCCCCACGAACTCGTCGTTCAGGGGAGATGGGGGCGTGCGCTGCGCCACAAGGTGGCCAATGGTCTCTGTGGTGTTGCGCAGACCGAACGGGGGCGCTGTCGGGGCGCTTCGGATGAGGCATTCCGGGGAGAGTGGCTCTCCTTTGGCAAGCTGCGTGATGACGTTGGCGAACAAAAAGGTGAGGCGGCGTAGGTCCTCCTAGGACGGTCCGGGTCCCAGGAAGGCGCCGAGCTGGCGCTCTAGCCTCCCATAATCGAAGCCGAGGAGCTGGTCACTCCCGGGGGCACGGGCCTCCGGTGCGTGCAGCTACAACTCCTCAAACGCCTCGGCGATCGCGTCAAGGCCAATGGAGTGGAGAGGCTGGACGGTGGCGGGAACCTGCGCCAACTCTCCCTTCGTCGTAATGATGAAGTCCAGGTTTTCGAAGCGCAAGTGCGTGCCTGAGACCCAGCTGACACCGTGACTAGCCATCCGAAGCCTGATGTGGACGTCAAGACGCGCAAAAAGCCCTACCTGGCACGCTAACTTCCTTGTTTTGGGTATCCCTAATAACGATACCCGACAGTAGGCTCAATAATGCGATGTGGGAAGTCATGAAGAAGGAAGTCCTCAAACTTCTTCACGCCGGGATAATTTATCTCGTACCACATAGCGATTGGGTTAGTCCCGTCCAAGTGGTTCCGAAGAAAGAAGGAATGACGGTCGTTGAAAATAATAAAAATGAGTTAATCCCACAGCGAACCGTCACGGGGTGGAGAATGTCTATTGATTATCAGAAACTCAACGCGGCAACAAAGAAAGAACACTTCCAGCGTCGCGCTCACACTCGCGCTCGCACGGTGCCCTCTCCCCCACTGCTCCTCCCTCTCCTGAGCCACGTCGGCGGCGGCGCCTCCCTCTCTCCCCTCGACAGCGCCTCTCCCTCCCTCTCTCGAGCCACGGCAGTGGCGGTGCCTCCATCTCTCCCCTCGGCGGTGCCACTCCCTCCCTCTCCCGAGACCCAGCGACGACAGCGCCTTCCCACCCACTCCTGAGCCCCGGCGGCGGCGGCGGCGCCTCCCTCTCTCCCCTCCTCGGCGGGCTACGGGGCCTCCTACGGCGGCGGCGCCCTCCTCCACCCTCCAGGCAGTGGCGTAGCACCCCTCTCCCTCAGATTCGGCGCCTCTCCTCCCCCACGCACCGTATCTGGTGGTGTAGTGACCGGATCTGGCCGCCAGTGCTCCCCGGCGACGGATCTGGTTCTGGAGGCGCGGATCCGATGGTGGTGCGACCGGTTCCGGTGGTGGGTGCAGCAGCACTGGTGACGGCATGTGGATGGGCTCACTGGGCTTGTTCATGGACTTTCTTATTTTTTGTTTTTTATTTGATTTTTCGAGGTGGGCATTTCAACCGTCTCGGTAAAGATTTATTTACCGTGACCTTTCGGTCAAGGCGTTTGTAATGTCCGCCTCGGTTAAGTTTTGTGTAGTAGTGTTTGCTATTTAGAGTTAGGATGAGTTAAGAAGTTGATCTTTGATGTTCTATTTACGATAGTTCTGTCATCCTCACATCTTCCCTCTATGCTTTGCACATGATGTCTTGCACTCTTTGTTACCGGGTAACAATGGTAAAAGATTTTATTTAAGTAACCCGACTGTTGTTAGCCCTCCTGTTAAGATCACGTGTGACTAATTTTTACTAGCAGCTAATAATTAGAGCTAATAATTAGAGGATGTTTGGTTGCTAGCCACGTTTTATTTTAGACAAGTTTGACTAGATTATTAAGTGTTTGGTTAACAACTAAACTTAGACAAAAAAAATAGACTTCACGTGTATAGAGTAAGAAAATGTAGTACTCTCTTCCGTCCAGAAAAAAATGCGATGCATCTTAAGTTCGATCAATTTTAGATAAAAAAGTATTAATATTTATGATATCAAATAAATATCATTACATTAATTATAAAATGTATTTTTATAATAAATTATTTTAGAGCTATAAATGTGAATAATATTTACTATAAATTTGGTTAAACGTGAACTACTTTTACTGGTCACGTAACACGCAGTTGCATTTTTTTTCGGGCGGAGGGAGTAAGATTTTTTTAGATACGATAAAAGGAAACTTTATATTTTCTAGCCACGCTTGTCAAATAAATTTAGTTGGTATCAAACGGCCTGATAGGTTGTATTGTACCTCCCCCAACTCTCTTCTCTACCGCGGCGCGCCTATTAAATGTTTGTAGTTTTGCTAGACATGCATCCATCAACCATAGAGGCCTTGCACTCGCACCGTCGGGCGACAAGCGACTACAAGAGTCATGTGAAGAGAGTAGCGACGAGTGAGGACTGAGGGTGATCGTGCGAGCTGTAACGTCTCGATCGTCATCTCTCCCTTTCGCGCCATCAATCCCGTGCCTCCTCACTGCAAATAGCGCTCGCATTCCTCCTGTCAACCAGGTTCCCGCGGGTCTTGTGTCTTGTCGCAAGTGGAAGCCATGTCGTCCGCCGCGGACGCAGCCAGCGGCAAGGAGGCGCCGGCGTGCGAATCCTGCACGAGCCTGCCGGCGGTGGTGTACTGCCGGGCTGACTCCGCGAGGCTGTGCCTGCCGTGCGACCGCCACGTGCACGGCGCCAACGCCGTGTCCACCCGCCACGTCCGGGCGCCGCTCTGCGACGGCTGCCGCGCCACCACCGCCACCGCCACCGCCGCCGGCAGCTTCCTCTGCGCCAACTGCCACTTGGGGTCGGAGGAGGGACGGCACCGGGATGGAGGCGACCCGCAGCCGCTCCACCACGACCGGGGCGCGGTGGAAGGGTACGCCGGGTGCCCCTCGATCGCCGAGCTCGCGGCCATCCTCGGCGTCGCCGGGTACGACGAGAAGGCGGCGGCGGCGGCCGGGGACGGCTGGTGGTGGCCCGCCTCCGCCTGGGAGGAGCCCCAGGTGCTCCGCTTGGAGGACGTGATCGTTCCCACCACCCCTTGCCATGGCCTCCAGCCGCTCCTCACGCCGCCGTCCCCAAAGGTACGGTGTTGCTGCTGCTGGCCTGCTAGAACAGCCACTGCTCACTATCGGACAAAAACAAACAAACAAAAAAAACTCTTTTTCCTCTTCTCTAATGGTTGTCTTGACGTGGTGACTGCCTGACTGGGAAATGAGCTAGAACCGGAGCTCCGGCGGTGAGATGGCTGACGAGGTTGTCCGGCAGCTGGGGGAGCTCGCCAAGTTGGAGGCGGCGGTGGCGACGGCTTTCGCGGAGATGGAGCCGGCTGACGGCGAGCAGCTGCATCCATGGGCGTCGCCGGAGCTTGCCATTGGACACGCCGACTTCGGGGCTCTCGACGCTGACGCCGCCTGGCATGATGCAGCAACCATCGCAGCAGTGCCTTCCACTGAGGTGTTCACTGTTCAGTCACTTCTCTACGTACTGCTAACTCTGATTTAACCCAAACTAAAGCCAAATGGATCCCATCAACATTGCAATTTTGTCGTTGTTCGGCTATACTCCTATATAAGAAAAAAAATGTGAATTGTTTCTTGAGTTTCCTTTTGATCATGTAAGATTATGTCTGAAATTTTCTAAAAAATCAAACACCTGAAATGTGCAATTCTCCATTTTAAAACCACTATGAAAGTTGCAAAGCAGCGACATAAACAGTGACCATTCTGGGACATACTGTGCCCGTTGCCATCAACTTAACTGCGTCCAACAAACAAGTGTACGGTCTATGAACTCTGGGGCCTTATTTAGATTGAGAAAAATTTCAACCCGATGAATAGTATAACTTTCGTCTTATTTGGCAAACTTTGTCCAATCGTGGACCAACTAGGCTCAAAAGATTCATCTCGTGATTTCCAACTAAATTGTGTAATTAGTTTTTTTTTTTACCTACATTTAATGCTCCATGCAAACGTCCAAAAATTGATGTGATAGAGAGAGAGTGAAAAAACTTGAAACTTTGAAGGGAACTAAAGAAGGCCTGGTTTTAATGTGAGTTGGCAACAAACCCTTTCAGTATAACGTTGCCATTGCAAACGGAAAGAAGCAGCTTGATCAGCCGTCTCCTCAGTTGCAATAGTTTCGTTTGGTCACAGGAGCAGGAAGCGTGGATCGCGGCCGGCTGCGACGTCGACGCGTGCCGGGCGGAGGAGGTGGAGCAGGCGCGCGAGCTCGCTGCTCCGGCGCCGGCGCCGGCCGAGCCGTGCCTGTCCTCGTTCGTGGAGATGTCAGAGATCTGCCCCACCAGCGTCGTCACCCTCAGCCACGGCGGGGTTGGCGGCGGCGGCACCGCCGACGTCGACAACAGCGGCAAGACAGACGCGGAGACAGCCCCGCGGCCGCAGCTGGGCACGACGGTGCCGGAGCTGGTGATGGAGAAGAAGGGCGGCTACGACGTGGCCTACCCCGACCGCGGCACGGTGATCTCGCGCTACAAGGAGAAGCGGAAGAACAGGAGGTGAGCGATCGAGCCGTCGTCGTAGCCACGCGTGTCGGCACCTTTCTCATGCATGTCGCTCGCTGCTCTCGCACGTTGCAGGTTCGACAAGCAGATCCGGTACGAATCGCGCAAGGCCCGCGCCGACGGCCGGATGCGGATCAAGGGGCGGTTCGCCAAGTCCGGCGAGATCTGAGACGCACGCATGCAGCGCTCCCTCGACCGGTCGTCGTCGACGGCAACGAACGAACTAGCTAGTGACCGGCCGGAGCAGGGGACCGCGACACAGCTAGCGCGGCATGTGTTTCTCGTGGGTTGTGGGTTGTTTGGTTGGTGTCGCAGCTCGCTCTGCTCGCACGTGTTGTTGCCGCCGGCCGCCGGTCACGAGGACGAACTGTGCTTCCGTGCAGCAGAACTCAATAAATAAATCAACTACTCGTACTGTACTAGTCTACTGTACGTTGAATGGAACCCATCTGTGCTTCCTCTTGTGCAGGTACTATGTCGCCAACTCTTGCACACCCCTTTAATTCAATTCAACACGGCTCCACCACCAAGTTTCATCTCGATTTCAAGTGTGTTATGAAGGGCATTTACATATTTACCGTTACCAGTAGATGTGCACGTGCGACACGTACATGCCTAACCTAAATATAATGGCCCTGTTACCAGTATCTTATATTAGGATTTGAACTTTTTTTTTTTTAGCAACGTGTTTTTCTCTCTCACAATAATTCAAATAGAACAAATGTTTCAGCTAAAAATATAATATAGTGATTTTCAATTTCAAATAAAGGTACATGTAGCCCTGGTACAGGAGATCGGTTATTGAGTTCATCAGATCAATGGATTTCGTAAACATGTGCAGTAAAAAAAACCAGCCACAGTGTCAATCTTCGCAAGCTGATGCAATCATGTCTACCAAATTGATTTATCTGGAATAAATCATACATGAAGCAAGACAAGGTGTCTTCTTTCAGCCTGTTCGCTGGTTGATTTCTGGGCTGATAAGCCCGGCTGGTGCTGGTTTGGTATGAGAGAAAAATATTGTACCATGACTGATAAGCCCTGGCTAAAACCAACGAAGCGAACAAGTTGGTTGAAATAATCTTCAGGACAGGACAATAAGATATTATTATACATAACACAGCATGAGTGAAGACTCTGCATTGTTGGCCAGAACACCATAGATGAGAGAAATTTGACATAGCAAAGATACTTCAATTCTTTATCAGATATTAAAGAAATTTAAACAGTTTTAGCCTGTTCGGGAGGCCGTATCGTATCGTGGATTATTTACTGTTGGCTGGTTTGGTGTGAGAGAAAAACACTGTTCTCGGCTGAAAATTTATGATCGTTTACGAGCAAGCGAACAAGCTGTTTTGATGGGCCGGAGCCATTCAAATGATTCTCACAGATTAAAAAAAAGGTAGAGGAACTAAAGCACAGAGCCATAGGGTAAGAAAATATTTTAGACTGATACTCAGCATTTTCAAGTGCTGTATTAATTGTACATAAATGGTTTACATTATATAAATATGAGGTAAATATGAGGAAGATATTTGACTATCCCTAAATCTGAGTTTTTTTATACATCTAATGAGGTCTTGAACTCCTGTAGGTAAGTTATCTTCACATTTATTTTCGTTGATAGTCAATAGCTGTCCCAAAAAATGCTTTCTGAGATCGTAGGCATCCTGTTTGTAATAAAATAATTAACATATAAGCTTCATATAAGTGATAAAACTATAAAATATAAAAGTAATATAGATATTAATGTTTTTACCTTTAATTGTGGTATCTGCCGTTCTTCATCTTTCCATGCAAACATGAACATGGAAACAAGATAACCAGATAGTTCCCTGAGGACACAAATTATAGTCAAATAAAAATCAATGAATCAACATAATGTTCGTCGAAATCGAACATGTATAGTAATAGCTACCAAATAAAATAAACTTACCTATTGTAAATGGGAATATCAGTTAAAACAATTTGACGCCATAAGAAAATATCTTCGTTCCATCTAGACCCAGGACATGCTTTTGCCATGGCTTTTTGTAAGTATTCAGAAATGCATAGGAGTTTCTTCACATATTTCGCGTTTGGATTGTACTTGTAAATTGGATTAGGAGGATTAGGGTCCAAAATGTATACTGTTTAGGTCTCTTGGTTCAATATGAACAAAATGAAGGCACCGCTCAGTTGAGTTATTGGTATAAGAATCTGCAAAAGGCTAATAGTTAAAAGAAATTTAAACCAATATCATTACGAGGCCTATGTAAGTCATCTTACCGATTTGCGTCTTGAAACACTGTATTCAATACCAGGCCATTTATGTATGGACTCTTTTAGTTGTTCCTCGTCTAATTTTTTACGGAAGTTTGGATGTCGTCCAAAATCAATAATCACCTAACATATTAAATCAGCATTACAAATTAGTTATAGAAAACATTGAATATAACTTAATGAGTATATTAAAAAGAGCAAATGTTAGATCATCATACCCAAAACTGCAAGTCTAGATAATGCTTTGATATTGGTCCTTTGATTTTCTTCATCTGGTGGATGTAATCAGACATGTTTTTTCGTATGAACAAATTGAAACATTCATGGTCCATGGGCTCATTGTCCTTTAATATGTGTTGCAGTTTCTGAAGAGTCAAGCTGATGGAATATGGCTTGGAGCTTTGTATCCAAATTTTACTGTAAAGGATAAGGAAAATGAAATTGATTATGTTAGAAATTGGCTTTCAGTTTTACTAATAAATATTGCTTGAAAATAAAAACTTACTTTAAGGTGTCTGCACAATTAATTGATTTGATATAGTCACAAAGGCAGCTTGTTAACTCATGTCCACTTATCTTTGAAAGAACAGACATCAACGACTGGTACTTCGTTTCGCTTGATAATAAGTCTGATGATTTGAATTCCTTTTGAATCTCTGGATTTTCCAAGATGGTAATATCATTGAAACTATCTTCAGCGGCAAGACTTTGTTCATCACTCTGAATCATTACTGCTGTGTTTGTTTTCCAACATAATAGTATGCCGGCTAACTTGTACCTAAAATGATTAATATTTTCATGCAAGGTAATAATCGATATTACCACATGTCCAGTAATTTAATAGGTTATCAACTTATTATATTCATTTAAGAAAAGTAATATATATACCTGTGTAATATGTTGAGAAAGTGCATCTCCAGTCCAGTATTCCATAAACTTGAGCATGAATAGACCACAAGATGAACTGCAAAGTTATAGAACATAGAGTATTAAAAAACAAATCTGTACACATATACATTATAATTTTATAGTGTGTTATACATGCCCGTCTTTCTGGATTGGTTCTTCTAATTGTTCTTTGACTGTCCATTTAGTGACGTCAAGGTCTTCCCAATTTTGGACCACATCTTCTTCTTTTTTTATAATAATGTTTAAATGAGATTGCAGACCTTCCAGCTGTAGAAATACAAAGTATTAGTAATATTAAATTAAAGAATATAAAAGGAGGATCAATGTAAAACATTTAAATAAAGTGTAAATCTGCAATTGTAACTTACTGTAGTTTTGAGGTCATCTCGATTGAATTTCCACACAATGAGTCAAGAACTTGTATCTCACACTTTTTTGCATGAAGAACAGCTAAATATCAATGTGTGTTCTTGATATTTATTGGAAGTAGAATCTAACGAAGACAATGAATTAGTCTCAGATATGTTAAAAAACAATACAAATGTATTGAACTAACAGAAAATAAAAATATGGAAACGTATGTTACCATGTCATGGCTTAGATAATTTTCAACGATCCTTGTAATGAAGCTTCCATCTTCATCTACTCTAAGTTTGCCATCCCGTTTTAGCAGTCCGGAGTTAACAGGATTCTCAAAGTATACCTTAACCCCATTTCTAACTTGTAGATGTTCTTGTTCCTTTAAACAACAGATATATACACTTATAACCTACAAAAAAATATTGAAATAACAATAAGATTACACTATTTATAAAACAGAGAATTATTTATATTAGATAGAGATATTTTAAGCACATTGGTACACTTACATCGTCGTTCAAATATTTAACTGGGTCTAGAAGACATGACAATTGATCTTGATTGACAAAAATATGATCTATCTTGACAAGTATATCAGTGGCCAAAGATGACTCTATTATTATTTGAGCACAGAAATCCTTGTCGGTCATTGTATAATTTGCAAGTAAAATAATTTTTTTATATAACTTAAAAAATTAAACAACATTGTGACAAACTATATGTAATAATATAATTAAATACCTTGTGGAAGTTCGTCATACGTTTGGTCATGTTTGATTTGTTGTTCAATTTCTTTTGGATGCTTATTGTCAATCGTGTGTTCATCTGCATAAGATTTTTCTTCTTTTGAGTTTTGAACATTTGAATCCATAACAATACCCAAATCAGTCTGCAAAAGGTAGAAAAAAACAATATTTACAATTCATTGAGTAATTTCTGCAAATTTTGTGAAAAGAAACGTGAGGAATAAAGATGAATTTGTCTTAGGATTTACGATTTTCTCGTTTCGTTGGATTGTGTATAATTATTATAGCTAACATCTATGCTTTTGTCACACTTGTCAATGTTTATAAATCAAAACAGTTTACGGACAAATAGACCTTGCCCAAATGTACCTGAAGTTGAACGTGGTCAGCAGCACGGCGATGCGTGCGTGGTCAGCGAGGGTGCTGATTCCTTGCGTCGTTTCATTACTGCTGTGTTTGTTTTCCAACATGATAGTATGCCGGCTAACTTGTACCTAAAATGATTAATATTTTCCTGCATGGTAATAATCGATATTACCACATGTCCAGTAATTTAATAGGTTATCGACTTATTATATTCACCTAGGAAAAGTAATATATACCTGTGTAATATGTTGAGAAAGTGCATCTCCAGTCCAGTATTCCATAAACTTGAGCATGAATAGACCACAAGATGAACTGCAAAGTTATAGAACATTGAGTATTAAAAAACAAATCTGTACACATATGCATTATAATTTTATAGTGTGTTATACATACCCGTCTTTCTGGATTGGTTCTTCTAATTGTTCTTTGACTGTCCATTTAGTGACGTCAAGGTCTTCCCAATTTTGGACCACATCTTCTTCTTTTTTTATAATAATGTTTAAATGAGATTGCAGACCTTCCAGCT